TAGGTTGTCAGTATCTAAGCTTTCTGGTTTTTGGATGTGAGCATTAATTGCTATTAGTTTTCCTCTCAGGTAAGCTTTTGCTGTATCCCACCAGTTTTGGTAATAAGTATCACCTTTATCATTTTGTTCGAAGAAATTCTTGATTTCCCTCTGAATTTCTTCCTTTACCCAATAATTTTTCAATAATAGATTGTTTAGTTTCCATGATTTTGTGAGGTGTTGAGTATTTCTATAGGAATTGAACTGTAATTTTATACTATTATGGTCAGAAAAGATACAAGGTATAATTTCTATTCTTGAATTTTTTGAGATCTGATTTGCAGGCTAGGATGTGATCAGTTTTGGAGAAGGATCCATGGGCTGCTGAGAAGAATCTAAATTCAACTTTATTTGGATGGAATGTTCTATAGAGATCTGCCAGACCTTTTTTGATCAAGGGCTCTGTTCTGGTCCATTATTTCTTTGCTTATTTTCTGTTTGGAGGATCTATCCAGATCATTCAGTGGAGTGTTGAAGTCCCCTGCTACTATGGCAGTGTTGTGTAACATGGTGTTTAGGTTGGATAAGGTTTGCTTTATGTAATTGGGTGCTCCTGTATTGGGTGCATAGATATTAAGAATTGTTAAATCTTCTTGTTGGATCTTTCCTTTCACCATTATAAAATGGCCATCTTTATCCTTTTTTACTTTTGGTATTTTAAAGCTTATGCTATCTGCAAATAAGTATAGCTACCCCAGCTTTCTTTTGATTTCCGTTTGACTGGATGATAGTTTTCCATCCCTTGACCTTGGCAGAAGGTTTTTCAGGTAGTCACCTGAGATTACCACACATGCTGCTTTTTCCCCTTTTTAGGCTGGGTTTATTTTTCATCATGAAAAATGTGGATATTCTGCCTTGTTGCTTGACCTGCTGTCAGGGTATGTTCATTTTCAGCTAGTGTTTTGCATCAGCTATGCGTCTTAGACAAATGAAGACTCTGTATGTTGAGAGTGGAAAAGTGACTTATTTTAAGAAATGTTGGCTCCCCACCACTATCCCATTAGTGGTGTACCTCTGACACTCCAGTGAAGCTACTCTAGGGAAGCTAAGACTGGCTTATGTGTGTTTTTGCTCTTTGAAAGGTTAGAATCTAAATGTACCACAAGACATTTCTTCCATAGTAAGATTGGGACAAAATTACAAACAGTGAATTCCGAAGCAAACTACTTGTGGTGCTCTAATACTTCTGAAACTTCAGAATTCATTCCCTATACTTTCGATAATATAACTTCTCATAGGGCATGTAAATCCCTTAGTATCACTAACTTCTTTTCATTTTGTGAGGACTAGCAGATAAAAAAGATTAAAGAAGTCCAATGTCAAGTCATTTATGGTAATTGGAAAGTGAGAAAGAGAACTTAGACTCTTTTGCTTTTGATAAGAGCTTGAAACAGATGAACCATTTTTTTTCTTTTTAACCGAGAGTCACCTCATCATCCCTGTCTGGTTTAGATTATTGGAGTGAAGTTGTAAAAGAAAACTTGAAATTTGCCCTAGACCTATAATGGCAAATAAATAGATAAGTTGTTAGTTGGTGGTAAAAAGAACCTCATGTAGTGTCTAACTGAGGTTTGTTCAGATTGGTGGGGGGTGGAGGGGTGGGGGAATCTAGAAATACCAGAAGCTAGGATCTTAGCTACCCTGTGGGGTGATTGGAACTGAGGATATGGGTGGTATTTGTAGCCTGGTATTTAGGAAGGCTAGTTCACTGAATTGCCTGGAAGAAGCAGAACAACTCTTTAGAGTTCTTAGCAACTGGAATTTATCCTGACAGGGTTCAGAATATATTTTAGCTTGAATAGTGAGTAGATTCAGGAGCCATTTTGTTTAATTTGCCTTCTGAAAGTACTCCAGTATTTATTCAAATGCTGTGACTATATGTTCAGTCCAGGCTGCGTTACTACTCTGGATTTCTTCACTGAAAGTTCAATACCACATTTGAACTTGAAGAATTTTTGCTGCCTGCTTATAGAGCATATGCGAATATAAAGCAGCCGTTTGTCAGTGGGCAGCTGAAAAGCGATTTTTAGCAGGGACTGAAAACCACGGCAGGCCACTGGCTTCCTGGCACACCCACTAAATCTCATAGGTTTACACTGAAAGCAAACCAAGAGGTAGGAGGTGGGGGATGAGGATAAGATGGGCAAAAATAAAAGCAATGGCTAAGATCTGAATGAGACTGAACCACTACGAGGGACCTGTATGTGGAAAAGAGCACACTGTTCCCAAAGAGGAGAAAGCTTGAACAGCAAACACAATGGCTAGGAATAAACATCTAATGTTTGCAGCTCATAATTTTTTTTTTAAAGTGATGTGTATATCTTCTTTGCATCTATAACCGTAGAAATACTGAAGGTGAATTTAGAAAAAGTATTATAGTTCAAGCTGTTTTATTCAGTACACTATCACAAATACCTTTTAACATGAACCATTAACAGTGGCAATTGATGTACAATCACCTTTAAGTATTACAGAATCCTGAGGAACTTTGTGAACCATTAACCAAATGCTTAAATATTTCCTGTATAGTATTGAGTGGACCTTTTAAAAAATGTCTTTTTAAACATCTTCAAAAGTTAAAGTTTTGTCATATATAATAACTCTTAATCAAAGTACAAGTTTATTCCCAAATATGCTATTCTTTCTTTGGCTATAGCATACAAGAGCGTTTATTTCTATTTAGTAGATCAAGAAGTGGGGGTATTGGCAGTATAAACTGGTTTGTCCAGGGACGACCAATGTGTCATTGTAGTTATAAAACAGAACTAGCTTGTATTCCACGGGCTCCTGGCCTGTGTAACAATTTTGAGAACTTTCCAATCACTTTAGGAAAACAAGGTACTTAGAAATTTATAAAGAGTTTCTTAATAAAAGAAAATCACTTATTTTGAAAATCACAAAATTAACCATTCTGCTGTATTTAAGAAGTGCTTTGATGTGTTCTGGTAATTAGTATTTACTGCCAGACGAATGTCTCTTGGGCACTTTAATTAATGGGTGGCTTGGCCAAATGAGCTTCTGATGGTAAACCTTCATGAAGGTTTATTTTTATGTTTCTCAAGAATAGCTGTCTCTTCAAAGCTCTTTAATTAGACAAAGTTTAGCAACTAAAACATATTATTAGAATAATTAGGCCTTGGGTTAAGAGAACTAGGGGGTCAAAGGACCAGGTACTGTTAGAGAATGGCCTCTTAAAATAAAACATAGCGTTCTACCTCTGATGGATGTCCAGTTCTTTAACAGCTTATGTTAAGTTACTATCTGTAGTTAGGGACTTTGTGTTGTTTAAAGTTGATATGACAGATCTCACCAGAAACCTAAACACACCAGAGTGTGGCTCATTTATCACTACCTCTGAACTCCCATAGAAAGCTATATTCTAGTCCTTTTAACATCTAAGCTGAAGACTTACTTTCTCCTTTTTTCTATTAAATTGTTAATCTTGACTATAACAGTGATTATATTTGAGAGAAATACTTCAAAGATCTTGTGCATGGTAAACAAAAATTATAATAATTCCTCTGAGGGGGTCTTCTTAATAATTTAAATCATCTACTTATAAGAAATGTTCTTAAAGTTGCATTTGCTCTCCGGAACTTTCTGTTCTTGTGGTCAGAATGCAGTTTGAATTATTTCAAAATCTGCTGTGTGGAGGGGTCCATTATCCAACTCCATTCTTCATCCTTTCTCTGCCATTTCTTGCCCGAAGCTCTCAGTTTTGGCAGTCATTACTAGTAAATATGTTTACCCTGAACTTCCTTTTTGTGATAAAGAAAGGATATACCTGACTGGTCCTCTGGGTGAGTGAGATGTCACCAAAACAATTGGGTATTCTTACCAAAACTGCTATTGATAAGCAAACAGTAATACATTTATTATTGTCTAATCTTTCACTTTCTTACTACCTTAGGATGTCCTTTTCTCAGCTAGATCAGTTGATGAAAAGACACTACTGATGAGACTATTAGAAATTTCAAACAGAACATACTGTATCATAGCTAATGTTTCTAATCCCATCAGCTGTTATGACCTGTATGTGGTGTTGGTTTGATGAAGAACTGGGTCAAAGACATGTATGTTGTTGGTTCAGTATAAACCTACTGCCATTATTGGAAAGTTCTTGAATAATTTACTAATTAATCAAATCATTTTTATTTTTTTTTCAAATCATTTTTAAATGTCAAGTATAGTTTGATTTATGGTATTAAATATGTAAATTCTTTTGTCATACCTTAGCCAGTTAAATTATTTCATTTAAGTTGGTAGAAACTTCATGTGGTTTTTGATTGATGTAATCTGTAAAAATTAATATAATTTTAAAAGCATTTGGTAAGCCAAATAAATATAGATATAAAAATGTAGACATACTGCTATGCATTCTAGAGAACAGTGACCAAATAAGTGTGTTTTTATGTCAAATTTTTAAACTTTGAGAAAGCAGAAGAGATATTAGCCTAAACAGAATCCTATATAAAGCAGTATTTTCCCTCTTAGCAATGACTAATTTCTGTCTACTCTTTCCTAAAATGATTGATTATTGGGAGCTTGCTCTTTGACTTACCCTTTAACACAGGAAATATTTCTGATACTAATATTCATGGATGTGTTTGCTTATGCATATGTACTCCTTCGCAATGAGGATATGAAAAGGAAGGTGTTGCATGCTGTGATCCTTGAAAAATATCATTACAACCCTTAGTACTCTATTATGGTAGTATAAGTGTATTCTTATGCATACTTATGCACATCAGGGTTTATACTTCAAATACCTTGGACACTTATTATAAATGAGTTTTTATGTAATAGATACAAACCAGGACTGTAAGTTTGTTGTCCTTTTTTTGTTTCTCTTCTTTAAGTTATTCATTTGGTGGGGTTCCTTTGCATCCCTCCTCACATCCACCTTTTGAAATTACACCAGTGTCCAAAACGAGTTCTGACTGTATTCTTCTTCAACACAGACCACCTGGTGGCCCATGGTAGAATGGCAGAAAAGGAGGCTCGTCGGAAGTTCAAACAGATCGTCACAGCCGTCTATTTTTGTCACTGTCGGAACATTGTTCATCGTGATTTAAAAGCTGAAAATTTGCTTCTGGATGCCAATCTGAATATCAAAATAGCAGGTGAGAAGTTTGCTGAGGATGTGGGAATAGGGAGAAAGGAGCTTTTCCTTTGGGGTTCTGAAAGCAAAGGATTGTTTATTTCTGTCTATTCAGAAGTATTGTGAAAGTAAGGAAAATTTAAGATTTAAAAAAATAGCCTGAAAATTGATAAGCTTTCAAAATATATTTATTTTTTATATAGTATTAGCTGGAACTAGTCTGGGAAGGAAGAAAGGAAAGGGTGATATTTAAAATTATTTTATTTTCGTTGACAAGTCCTTTTTAAATAATAGGAATAAAATATGGAATAAAGTGGAAAGGAAAATTGCTAAAACTGTATAGCTTTTCACCTTCAATTGAGAAAGTTGATTTACATGACTGCTGACATAGAGCATGCTTGTTCCAAAGGCTGTAGTTTTATGGTGATTTAGGGAGAACAGATCTTATAGAGGCTCATAGGCAGTCCAGCTTTTTGTCTCCTCACATTTCACTAGTCTGCTCATCTGACAGTGCCTAAAAAGCACTTTTCACTGCCTCAATCTGCTCATGCTTCAGTTTTAGTAAACTATCAGCATTTGCTTAATGAATGCAAGCTCACCACCTATTGATAGAAGAAAGTGACTGCAGTCTATATTGAAACTATAAGTATGAAAATAAGCCATTTTTGTTTTCTGACAGTTTCCAGTATTGTGTGTCCCCCATCTCCCATTTAAAAGGGAGGACATCTCCTATAGAAAATTGAAATATAGCTATAATATGATTGTCTTGAAAAGCCAAGGTTTAAAGCAGTTCTAAAGATTTCCTCCCTTGAGTAGGGGTAGGAGTTGAGAGTTAAGATTTGTATCATATTATATAGGACGAAAACCCTAAATGTACCCTTGCAGGCTGGTAATTCTTCTGACAGTTTATTTTGTGTAGATAAGCTCCTTCACTTTTACGTCCTTGGCAATCACCTAGCTTTTTGTTTATCTCAGTTAGGCTCTTTGCTGCAGTCTTGTTTAGAACTTTCACATAGTTTGTAAGGTCTTTGCATCCTGCACTAATTCATTACATGATAGGCAGGCATTAAAGGCTTTTTTTTTTTTTTTTTTTTTTTACATAAAATCTTGTTTTTCCTTTGCTTTTAGGTCTGTTTTATTTTCTCCAAAATACTCTTACTCTAGATGCTGACAGTTCCCACAGAAGTGGGTGGTGTGAAAAGGCCTGACAATTTCAAACCCTCTTTTGTAATTATTTCTTGTAGCTTCAATTAAATTAATAGTAACAATACCTACTAAACCTGATAGTCCTTAAAAGTGTAAAATGTATTAATTTCTTATTTTTGCTGTAATAAATCACCGCAAATGTAATGGCTTGAAATAGCACAGATTTATTAGCTTACAGTTCTGGAGGTTAGACATCTGAAATGAGTTGTTTTATAGGACTAAAATCAAGGCATAGGTAAGGCTGGTTCCTTCTGGAGGCTCTGAAGAGAACATCTGTTTCCTTGCCTTTTTCAGCTTCTAGAGGTCACCTGCATTCCTTGGTTCGTGCCCCTTCCTCACCTTACCCAACCTCTTGCTTCTAATGTCACATCTCCTACTCCTAACTCTGATCCCCACGATTCCCTCTTTTAAGGACCCTTTTGATTACATTGAGCCTCCCTGGCTAATCCAGTATAACGCCCCCCCCCCAATTTTAAGAGTCTTAATTTAATCATGTTTGTAAAAGTCCATGCAAAGCAACACATTTATAAGAACAGGGGTATAGGACATAGATGTATTTGGGGGCCCATTATTCAGCCTACCACAAATGTCACTGTAGAGATCTTTGCATTATTGATTAGAGTAGTGACTTAAAAGAAGGCCCTCTTTGTATTTCGTCATTTTATTCTACCTCCACTCATCCAAGGATAAACTTTTTGTAATGTTTCCTTGGTTCTTGATTTTGAATTTAGGAACATTTTAGTTTAGTTAAGGAAAATTTCTATAGCCTTTGGATTTTGTATTGACAAACTAGAAGTAAAAGCAGAGGTCATTGATAATTGAAATTTGGAAACTCTATTGGGTAAGGAGATTTTTACATGCTTTTCTTCATTAATAGTTAAAACAAATCCAAGTAGTTACAATAAGAGCCTCTGCCTGCTGGTGTGTAATTACAGACTCCTAGGGGTGCTGGCAGCCAGGCTTGGGCTCTCTGTGTGTTAACACATATACTTTGGCAAAATTTTTAAGTTCATTAACCCAAAGTCTACATTTTTATTATTTATTTTCAGAGCAAAACAAAGAATAAATGACTTTTAATTTGTGGCCTGCTACAATATCCAACATTATCTTTGCTCATACATTCTTTCTCTTACATGGCATTGTTACTCAGTTTCTCAGTCATTGCCTGAACTTCCTTTCTTGCATGCAAAAATGAGATGGAATTCTCACTTTCACCTGCCAAGTCTTTGAACTTAATGGACCAGTGGGAGAAATGCTTCTAGTTGAAGCTGACTAGAACATGACTAATTTTGGAGAGGTAGGTTGGATGGTTTTGACAGGGTACGATCAGAAAGGTAATGAAATCAACTTTAATTCTGAAAGCTAAAAGTAACTTCAGATCCCTGATCTTTTCAATGGCCTTTTTTTAATATATAAAGTATTATAAATCTTTTTTTATGTTACAATAGCAAATTAACTTGGAACTAATGAAAATTTAGATTGGGATACATAAGAAATTCATGTTTTCCTTATGCCACTGTTTACCTAAGTGGTTTTAAGACAATCATGCATCTTGTTTGATACAGAAGATGAATAAATTGTTCTGGGGATGTCTGTGTGTCCATTAATTATTTTTTATTTTTTGTATTAATGTGGCAATTTATATTTGATATTATAAAAATCTCACTATTACAAATGCCCATGCTAGTGCTAGCCCTCTCAGAGAGAATGTGTGTTACCTAGACATGAGGGTAAATGTCAGTGATTGGTATTATAAGATTCAGCTTAGCACAGTGGCACATGTCTATTGTCCCAGCTACTGACTGGGGAGGCTAAGGAGGGAGGATCACTTGAACCCAGGAGATTGAGTCCAGCCTGGGCAACATAGTGAGGTCCTACCTCAAAAAAGTTAAGATACAGCCATCATGTTATAGTTTTATGATTTAAATCCTTTCTTATGATTTTTTGTTCTAGTTCTGTTTCTAGAGAGGAGAATAGCTTAGTTTTCTTTCTGGTTTTAGAATTTAAAAATTCTTCTTAATGACAGTAGTAGACATGTCTTCTGTAGAATTTTTTAAAAGTTGTTTCTATAATGAATAATACAGAATAAACATTGATCATTTTCAGAAATAAAGAATTTTATTTCTGGAAGGCACATTTACCCAGTCTAGAACTAAGAATTTGAGGTGGTGCTCTGGGAATCTTATCTGTGGTTAACAAAGTCTCCTTGCTCAGGTGGCACTGAAGAGAAAAAAGAAGTGGGAAACATGACTCCAGCCCGTAAGAATTCACAGTCTATTTGGGCAGCAAATGTTTAGACCTTTGGAAAGTTAAAAAAGACCAAAATTATGCCTTGCACATATATAAAATACTTCACAAAGCATTTTCACATATATCACTTAATTTTATCATTTTTGGCATGTAAATATAGCTTGTTAGAAAACATTAAAATCCCTTCATCTTCTGGCACATTTAACTTTCCCAAACTTTGAATTTCTTATAAAGAATACCCAAACAATTTTTTTTTCATGTAGAGAATCCCAATGCTGGGGAAAGAATACGATTCTTGGCCTCTAACATTTCACTTTTCTAACCTCAGGTGTATGAGGATCTGCAGAGGTGCCCATGAAGGACTGAGAAGGCACAACATGGTTCTTTCAGCATATAGCCTGCGTCCTTGGGGGATGGTGTGTTTAACAGCTACCAAATTATATTTCAATACGATAGGAGACATGTTACAAGGCACATCGTAATTCATTATCACATAAATTGTACAGTCTAATAAGCACAGGAGTTCCCAGGATGAAGAGAACACTTAAGTTTGTAAAGCTCCATTAGATCATAAATTCCATACAGACTAGGGCCATATCCTGTTTGTTTCACCCCCACTGCCTAGCACATACCAGTTCTGTAGTAGGTGCTCCTTAGCTTTGTTGATCTGAACTTTAGGCAGTGTAGATGAGGACATTAATACCCTATTGAGGACATGACATTTACGATGAGTCGTAAAGGATGATAACATACACAGGTGGAGAGTGGAGAATTCCAGCAAACGTTAACAAAGTACCTGCTATGTGTGGACCTGATCTAGGTACTGGGTACAGCAGCAGATAAAATGGTCCCCAGGAACTAACATCCTGATAGGGGGAGATAAACAGTAAACACAAACAAATAAGCTCTCATAAGGGCTGTGAAAAAGATAAAATCGAGAAATGTGACAGAATGACTTGTGGGAGAAGACAGTATTTTAACCAGGATACTCAGAGCCTTCCAAGCAGAAGGAAGAGCAATGCAAAGACCTGGGAGAGGTGAGTTTAACGTATTTGATGGGTAGGAGAAAGCCAGCATGGCTGGAGGTAATAAGAAGGGGGATAGAAGGAGTTGGGGTGAGAGAGATGGGGTGGTAAGGATGTGGGGTTTTATTTTGGTTCCAGCAGGCAGCTGAGTTGGAGCTGCATGAGCAACAGTAGAATGCACATGGCATGTTTGCAAAAAAGGTGAAGCAGCTTAGTAGAGGGACACCTCATGTAGGGGAATTATGCCTGAGAAAGCAGGAGGAGTAGATGTTTATGCTGGATTGTGGAAGTATTTGAACATAGGCTCAATAAACTAAATTCAAGATAGATAAGGAAAAAGATGAGAGTTAGGGGAAAGGGACAGGAAGGCAATAGAAGACCAGTTAAAGGCTGTGAAATGGTAAAATACTGCATAAGAGTGGTGGAAGTAGACATGGAAAGGGCAACAAATGTAAGAGATAAAGCAAAGAAGAATTTCTAGGACCGGTAACCAAGCAAATAGGGTCCAGTCAAAGATATGTTTATAAATGGAAAAATCAAA